AACCGCAGAGAGAGGGGGAAGGAAGTCAAGTTTTGAAATATCAAAATGGTTGTAAATTAGTGAAGTGTATAAATCTGAAATGCATGAATGGAATTTTTAAAAAGAGCTAGACCAGAGTCTAGTGACTCTCGCTGCTTCCCTGCAGAATTGAGAAGCTGGATCGGGGGTGCCAAGGTGTCTACGTTTGCCGAGCCACCAGCTACTCTGAGGAGGTTGAGGACAGGGCCATGCTGACCGTGCAGGGTAAGTCGGAGTGGGCAGCCACCAACTGAAAGGCCTTTGCTCTCTACTACTCTCTTGGAGGAAGTGGCTCCCTTGAGTGCAGTCAATCTCCCCCTAACCCCACATGCAAAGGTGGGGGGGGGCAGCAGTCAGCCACTAAGCCGCAGAAAAATCCCAGTATCCCAGTTACTAGACTGCTGTTGTGCATTTTAAAATACAGTCGTACCTTTGATCCTGAATGCCTTGCAACTCGAACGTTTTGCCTCCCAAATGCCGCAAACCCGGAAGTGAGTGTTCCGGTTTGTGAACATTCTTTGGAACCTGAACATCCAATATGGCTTCTGATTGGCTGCAGTAGCTTCCTGCAGCCAATCAGAAGCTGCACTTTGGTTTCCAAACGTTTTGGACGTCAAATGGACTTCCGGAAGTGATTCCGTTCAACTTTCAAGGTACCACTGTACATGCTGGAAGAGCAACAGTGGTTAAGCTGGAGAAAAGGGCGTGGGGGCGACTCTTCCCCCTCCAGCTCTCCATCAGAGAGAAGCTGGTCTGCCATAGAATGCATTCCCCAGTCCTCGTCTTCAGACCATTCCCTGACATCAGGGCATATTCCAGCTTATCTCCAAAGAAGGGGAAGGGAAGAGTCCATCCCCACAGTTGCCATCCTGGTGTGGAACTGAAGCATTAATTCCCTGCGCTGCATAGCGGGGGGGGGGGTCCTTATAATCACAGATTCATAGAATTGTGAAGTTGGAAGGGACCCCGAGAGTCATTTGGTTCCACCACCTTGCAATGCAGGAATCAGGACCACCTCCTGCTGTGAGAGAATGCTTTCATCCCCACGGGTGCCAGTCTATTGCCTAATAATAATAATAATAATAATAATAATTTGTTATATATACCCTACCCATCTGGCTGGGTTTCCCCAGCCACTCTGGGCGGCTCCCAACAGAATATTAAAAACACAATAAAATATCAAACATTAAAAACTTATTTATGCAGCTATTGTAATTTAGATATTATATTATATTTTATGCAAGGGAATCATTGGGAATTTCGGTTATTATGTATATATGTTAAGTTTCAATAAAGATCTTTGGGGGGGGGAACTTCCCTAAACAGGGCTGCCTTCAGATGTCTTCTAAAGGTTGTATAGTTGTTTATTTCCTTGGCATCTGATGGAGGGCATTCCACAGGATGGGCGCCACCACCGAGAAGGCCCTCTGCCTGGTTCCCTGTAACCTCACTTCTCACAGGGAGGGTACCGCCAGAAGGCCTTCGGAGCTGGACCTCCGTGTCCGGGCTGGACGATGGGGGTGGAGACGCTCCTTCAGGTATACTGGGCCGAGACCTTGAGGATCCGCTGACCTCTCCCTGTCTGCCCCCCTCTCCTCAGCACTGCCCAAGGTGATGATCAACATCCGGACGTCGGTGCAGACCGTGCTGGTGGGCAACGCCGTGGAATTTGAGTGCCTGGCCTTTGGGGACCCAAAGCCCCAGGTCACGTGGAGCAAGGTGGGCGGGCGGCTGCGCCCAGGGGTGCTGGCAAGTGGCAGCATGGTGAAGATTGAGCGCGTGGAGCAGGCGGACGCCGGGCAGTACCGCTGCACGGCCACCAACGACGTCGGCACAGTCCAGTCCCACGTCATCCTCCACGTCCAATGTAAGCACCAGCAGGGCGAATGCGCCCCTCGTTTCTCTCTCCTCCCTCCAGGTTAGCAAACCTGCTTCTTCTCTCTCCTACAGCTGTGCCCCAGATTGCTGCAGCCCAGCCAGAAGTGAAAGAGGTCTCCGCTGGGTCTAAGGTGGTCTTCCCTTGCTCGGCTTCCGGTTTCCCTGTGCCAGATATCACCTGGACCAAGGTAACTCTCCAGAGGGGCAGGGAGCCCTTCTGTGGGCTTTGCCCACCAAGAAGGGCCCGGCGGCTGACGACATGTGACGCCGTTGTCTATTTTATTTGTTGCATTTATTTCCCGCCATTTCTCCTCCAAGGAGCTCGAAGGTGGCACGCATGGTTCCCTCCCCCCCCTTTATTCTCAAAACAAGTTTGGTTAAGGCTGCAAGGCAGTGACTGGCCCCCAAGGTCTCCCAGTTGTGTTTTGTGGCCGAGGGGAGGATTTGAACCCTGATCTTTTCCCGTCCTAGTCCCCCGACAACCCTGTGAGGTAGGTTAGGCTAAAAGAAGGTTGAAACCAAGTGAGAGTCATGGCTGAGGGGGGGATATGGACCCTAGTCTCCCAGGTCCTAGTTCAGAAATAACCACTACACCACACTATCTCCATGTGCTTTCTGTAGTAACTGGTGATTTTTTTAAAAAAAAAGTCTTGTGTAGCTTAGTATCGGTTTGATCATATAACGCTAATCCTGGCACAACTACACTGGCTGCCAATTAATTTCCGGGCCCCAATTCAAAGTGCTGGTTTTTGCCTATATACCCTTCACAGCTCAGGACCTCAATACCTCAAGGTACCTCTTTTTAGTTCTTTGTATGTTTATAAGCAAAATGAGATAAATAATGATAAGGCAGACAAGGGAAAAGGCAGAGAGTCTCCCGGGTTTGTGGGGAAGAGCGAGAACAGCCTCTGGGGAGAGCAGCAAGATGGCGCACACGGCAAAGGAAGGATGAACTGAGAAGGCTCAGTTGCTGGGCTGCCTTGCAAGGCCGGCTGTGCCCTGCGGGAAGAGCCTGCTGAGGGTTTGGGGGCCGCTTCTGTGTTCCAGCTGGAAGGAGACCTCCCCAAGGAGGTCCGTGTGGAGAGCAACGTCCTGACCATCCCGTCCGCTCGCCCCGAGGACACCGGCATTTACGTCTGCACGGCATCGAACCGGCAAGGGAAGGTGACGGCTTTCTCCATGCTCAAAGTGCACGGTGAGTTCAGCAGGCCGGTCTCTTCTCCCTCCGAAATCAGTTTCTCTGCCGCCGCCGCCCAAACCATGGGAGGAATATTCAGAAAGGGGACAGGCAGTTGCTGATCTCCAGAGTTTGACCTGGAGAAATCTCCCTCTGGGGCTCTCCAGTTGTGAGAGGGGAATCTCCTCTCTTTCCCCTTCCCCTTCTGGTTGTGGGGACTGTGCCTTGAATAGCCACAGCTGGGGTGGAACCGGCAGTGGTATTTTTCTAGAAAAAGAGGTGTCGGAGCTCACCATGAAAGACTCTCTTATCATGACAACGGTGCCCATCTGAAAGGCATCAGAACATACTTCTGGTGAGTTCCAGGTGCAAAAAAAGAGCCTTGCCTGGGCTGTTGCTTCCTGCCTCCTAGCCTGGTGGCGGCTGCTGGTTCGAATCCTGCTGGGACTTCTGCGCAGGGGGGAAAGGGTCCCTGCTCAGCTGCATGCGAAAGCCCAGGCAACACTTGAACACCTCCAGTTTAAAGGAGCATGGGTATCTGGGGAGGGGGAAGCACCCCAGAAGGCTGCTGCCAGTCAGAGAAGGCAGCATTGGGCAATATTGGGCAATACTGGGCAATGATGCAACCTGGCATGGTGGCAGTAGTGGGATTCCCTGTGGCTAAAGTGGACCAAATAGGTAGCCGGCAATTCCTCAAATTGAAAGGATAAGGGAGCTGGGAAATTGCGGCAGCTGCCCAGTCCTCTGACCCCCTGCCCTTCCTCTGCTTGTAGAGCGGGTGGTGCCATATTTCACCCAGAATCCTCAGTCCTTCCTTGTCCTGCCGACCATGAAAGACGCCTACAAAACATTCGCGATCGAGATCACCTTCCGACCGGACACACCTGACGGTAAGCGCAGGTGCTGGGGCAGGTGGGGAGGCCCTTGGGGGCAGGACTGCTGTGTGTCGTCCCCCCTCAAATGTAGGCACTCCAGAGCTTCCCCACAAGTACAGTATACAATAGGGCTGCCATATTGGGATTTCAGAGGCGAAATTGACATCCGGGAGGGATTTCCGAAATGCAGCGTTTTGTCCTGGATCAATCGAAAAGTGGCGTTTTTTGAAACAATTTTGGGGTGCCCTGGTTTTTACTTTTTGAAATATGGCTATCCTAGTATATGAGCTCCTTGGTCCTTTTTTGGGTACAAACCAGCCACCTTTCTCCTTGCTGGCAGAGGCCCGAGCGCTCTCTTTGCTGGGAATCTCTCTCTCTCAACACTCTCGTTTTCCCTCTTGCCTTTCCTCCCAACTCGTCTTACCTTTCTCTCCATCTCTCTTCCTCTCTCTCTCCTCTACACCTCTTCCTCCCCCTTCGTCTCTACTCCCTCCTTTCCCCTACCTCTCCAGCTCTCATGCTTTACTCAGGGTAAGTCTCGTTTCTGCTGGGCTGCCGCTTCCTTTTTAGCCAGTCCTAGACGCCTCCCTTAACCCTTGCGGTGATGGAGCCTCGTGCCCGCGTGTGTGTTGTGAAAAGTGTGCCCCTTGGCAAACTAACTATTCCACTGGTGGAGCTGTGTCTTCACTCAGGAGCCCTCCCGGTCCCTGTCCACCCTGCTCACCGATCCGCCTAACGCCTTGCCAGCCAGGCTGCTTCTTTTGAGGCCCTGCCTAACCCCCAGTTCCTTGCCAGGCAGGTGGGACATTCTCCCTTCCTTACCAGGAAGCGGAACTGTGTTGCATCCCAGGGACAGGAAGCCCAGGTGGATCTTGGCCTCCTCTTGTTGCGCCGTGGGGGCCGCCTGCCGTGCTGCGGGTTTGGGTGCCAAAGGGAGCTGGTGGGCGCCAGCTTTTGTGGCTCGTCCACAAATAGGCCACTTGCGTGGGTGGCAATGGAGGGCTCTGAGCACTGCATGGAACTGGGGACCTCGGCCAGGCTGCCTTTCCCAGGCGTCGGAGGATGGCTTGGCTGCAAGGAGCTCCCTGGTGCTGAAGCTGTGAGCTGAGCAAACCCATGCCCCACGGAGACCGCTCACCTTCCTTTGTGCTTTTGGCAGGGATGCTGGTATACAATGGGCAGAAGAAGAACACAGGCACGGACTTCGTGTCCTTTGGATTGGTTGGGGGCCGGCCGGAGCTCAGGTGAGAGGCTGTGGGTCCTTATCTCAGCACCCTCTTTCTGGCTGGGTGTCAGTTCTAGCCTCAACCCAGAGCTGTGAGACGTGGGCCTCCAAATTGGCCTGCGCCAAAATGGTCCAGCTTGCCGCTTGCCGAAGGGGTCTTGCAAGGCATGCCAGGGCCTAATGGAGTGGGCGGGAGCCGAGGCAGTTTTGACCCTCCTGATCTGTCTTGGCATTGCAGGTTTGACGCTGGCTCTGGCATGGCCACCATCCGGCACCCTTCCATCATCAAGCTGGGCGAATTCCACACCATCCGGCTGTACCGCAACCTCACCCAGGGCTCTCTCGTTTTGGACAACCACCCTCCCGTCAACGGCACGTCCCAGGTGAGTGGCAGGCTCCAGGTGGAGAGGGTAGGGGCTGCTTCTCCCACCTGTGGGAAATCTCTCTGGCATGTGGCTACTGAAAGGGGCAGCGTTCTAAGCCAGGGCAGGCGCTCATGCTGCTGGGCGCCTTCACCCCATCTGTGGGTCTGAGCTCTGCATTCTGTACTTGCCAGTGGCTACTGAACCAGGCCCAAAGGCGTTGGGTACTGGGAGCAGGATGGCAAGCAGGGCCAAGATGGAGCAGCGCCCTGCAAACTGGTGTTTCCTGTTGGAGACCCACTTTTGCTAGGTTTACATTTCTGTGTTATGGACTGGATGAGAGCCAACAAACTGAAGCTCAATCCAGATAAGACAGAGGCACTGTTAGTGGGTGGTTCTCTAGACCAAATAGATGGGAGGTTGCCTGCTCTTGATGGGGTTGCACTTCCTCTGAAGGAGCAGGTTCACAGCTTGGGGATACTCCTAGATCCTTTGCTGTTGCTCGAGGCTCAGGTGGCCTCAGTGACACAGAGTGCCTTCCATCAGCTTCAGCTGGTGGCCCAGCTATGCCTAACTACTATTGTCTATGTTCTGGTAAACTCAAGGTTAGATTAGTGCAATGCGTTATAGGTAGGGCTGCTTCTGAAGATGGTTCGGAAAATTCAGCTAGTGCAGAATTCAGTGGCCAGGTTGCTCACCAGAGCAAGATGGTTTGAGCATATTACACCGATCCTGGTCCGACTGCACTGGCTACCAATTAGTTTCCTGGCCCAATTCAAAGTGCTGGTTTTGACCTATAAAGCCTTAAATGGCTCGGGAATGCAAAACCTCAAGGACTGCCTCTTCCCATATGAACCTACCCGGATCCTGAGATCATCTTCTGAGGCCCTCCTTCATGTGCCTCCTCCTTGAGAGGTCCGGAGGGTGGCAACACGAGAACAGGGCCTTCTCTGCAATGGCTCCCCGTCTGTGGAATGCTCTCCCCAGGGAAGTTTGCCTGGCGCCTTCATTACACACCTTTCGGTGCCAGGCAAAAACGTTCCTTTTTTAACCAGGCCTTTGGTTGATCTGATTTACATCCTATGCCCTTTTAAAATGTGGCACTTTTCGGGTCGGGGGGCTATTGAGTTGTTATTTTTATTTTTAGTATGTATTTTGTGGTTTTATATCTTGATTTTATTCTGTGAACTGCCCTGAGACCCCTGGATATAGGGTGGAATAATAATAATAATAATAATAATAATAATAATAATAATAATAATAATAATATTTCTTCCCCAGGGCAAATTCCAAGGTCTGGACCTCAACGAGGGGCTGTACCTTGGCGGGTATCCCAACTACGCTGCTACTGCAAAGACAGGCCTGACCAGCGGTTTCATTGGTGAGAGCTACACAGAGTCATAGAATTGTAAGGTTGGAAGTGAGTCCCTCAAGGGTCATCTAGTGCAGCCCCCCTAAGGTGCATGAATCACAGCTGAAGGGTCCCTGACAAAGTTTCATCCAGCCTCTGGCTGAAAACCTCCAATGAAGGAGAGACCACCACCTTCTGAGGACAAAGCGGCCAGTATATGCACGGGGATTTCTGTGATCTGTGGCAGGTGGCCGGGTTGGGTTTTGAGTGCGCCCATAGGCGCCGACTCCATGGGGCCTGAGGGGGCCCGAGCCCCCTCAAAAATTTTATTGGGGGGGCTCTGCCCCCCCAATAATTTAAAAAATTATCGCGCGCCTTGGCTCCCTCGTCGCGCGCCTTGGCTCCCGCGGCCGGCGAGGGGAGCCCGGGCCGCACGCGGCTGCTGCCGCCGCCGCCGCCTCTCCTGGGGGCGCCGCCTCCCCGGGCGGGAACGCTGCGGGTGCGCGAGGGAGGAGGGCGGCCCCCGGGGGCTGGGAGAGCCGGGCTGCCGTGGCCGAGAGGGCTGCTCTGCCGGGCGCCGCTGACATAATTTAAGCAAATTATCGCGCGCCTTGGCTCCCACGGCCGGCGAGGGGAGCCCAGGCCGCGCGCGGCTGCTGCTGCCGCCGCCGTTTGTGGTCATGGCGGAGCTGCCGCCTAGGGAGGAGGGGAGAGGGGGCTGGCGGGGGGGGCAGGCGGTGAAGGGGGCTTGGCTGCTCTCTCTCTCTCTCTCTCTCTCTCTCTCTCTCTCTCTCTCGGGCTCTTCCCGCCCAGGGCTTGTGGGCATCTGCTCTGAGACGAAGATGGAGGTGACTTCCCTTAAAGGTCATGGAATCATAGAGGTGGAAGGGACCCAAAGGTCATCCAGTCCAACCCCCAGCAATTCAGGACTCACAGCTAAAGCATCCCTGGCAGATGCCCCCCCCGACCTCTCCCTAAAAGCCCCTTCCCCTGTCTGACTGCTCTCACCACCAGAAAGGCCTTCCTAATGTTTTGTGGGAATCTCATTAAGCCTACAGAGCTATATATGCAAATGGATCTACTTATTCTTTCCCTTGAAGATACATTGATTCGTTTGTTACTGTGGTTTCGATCAATACTTTCCAAAGATCTTTACATTTGTCCATGCATGATCTTTGTCTGAAAGCTCATGGGTTGCAGGAGTTGTCATAGGAGGTTATATTTTTGTCCTTCCAACTGTTATGGAAATTACAGGGGGGGGACATCTTTAAAGTTGTTAAATGTTGCAAATATTATGCCTGAATGTACCCTTTCAACTTGACAGCTCAGGGAAGTTACCTAGATAAAATCCTGTAACACAATGTATCAGCCTTAATCATTTTGCAGATGTTAAGGGGGGGGCAGAGCCTGCAGCCACCATCCCTTTCCGGTGGGGAGGGGGCAGAGGAAAGACAGGAAGCTTTTCCCTGCAGAGTTAGACCCCTTGGCTGCGTGGCCAGGGACGCGGACTTATAAAAAATATTGGGGGGGCCCGGGAAAGCTCATGAATAATAAATAAGCTCATGAATATGCAAATAAAGTGGCGCCGCCTCCTCGTGAGCGAATAGGGGAGAGCGTGCTGCGCCTATTAATCAGCTCCAAAGGAAATTGGGTGGAGCTTTTGCTCGGGAGGGAGGGCAGGAGGCATGCAGCCCGCCCCTCCCTGTGCATTTTGGGCTGGGGGAGGGGCAGCGATGGCGCTCTGCTGGAGGGGCGCCGGAGATTATTGGGGGGCAGAGCCCCCCCAAACGAATTTTTGAGGGGGCTTGGGCCCCCTCAAGCCCCATGGAGTCGGCGCCTATGTGCGTGGCCCTCGGGTCCCTTCAAACTCCTGGGCGTTTTGCTGGTGGGGGGCTGTGTGGGGGCCTGGGCGATCTCGGAAGAGGAAGCTTGCAGGCCTGGTTGTATGTTGGGGGCAGCAGGAAGAGGCGGAGGGCAGGATGTGCAGCCCCTGCCTGGCTTTCCTGTGGGACCAAGGAAGCGGCTGGGGGGGGGACTTGGCCGCTGGCCTTTGTTGCGGAGGCGGCAGTGTGGGAACGCCAGTCCCAAGGGCAGCCTCTGGGGTCTGGGTGCTGCTGCCTGTCTCCTGCCATGGACTTGGCGGGGGGGGGCTGTGCTATTGGGCTGGCAGAGACTTAACGGGGGCTGTCTCTCCCAGCCAAAGCTGACCCCACAAAATTGCAACCCAGTGTGTGTGTTTGTGGGGGGGGGGGGAACCAGCCTGCACAGGGTAAGCCCCGATGGGGCTCCTGGGCTCCTTCTGATGCATGAAAATTGGAGGTTGTCCTTTACAGCTCAGCTCCCCAAGGGGCTCAAAGCCTCCCAAGTCCATTATCAGTCGGAGACGAATGAGTGGAAGCTGGAAGAAAGGGGGGAATCTTTATTTTTCTGTTGAAACAGAGCCCTCCTTCCCACTGACATTTGCAAGGAGGGGAGGACCCCAAACAAAGGTGTGCAGCAGCTTTGAAAGACTTTTCCGGCTCAACATCAGGAAGAGCTTTCTGACAATAAGAGCTGTTCAGACGGTCTCTGCTCCCTGGGAGAGGCTAGGTGGCCATCTGTCAGGGATGCTTGAGCTAAGATTCCTGCATTGCAGGGGGCTGGACTAGATGACCTTGGGGTCCCTTCTGTCTCTATGATTCTATGATTAGCATAATACAAGCATCTCAGGAAGAGGCATCTACCAACAGAAATCCAGAGTGTGGCTTTCTCTTCCTGTCTGTCAAGGGACCTGCAGATGCCTGATTGCCTTACTTGGCCAGTTCCTTAGGACTGGTACATACAGTCATACCTCGGGTTACAGATGCTTCAGCTTAAGCATTTTCAGGTTATGGATGCACTGAAACCAGAAGTACCGGAATGGGTTACTTCCAGGTTTCGGCACTTGTGCATGCGCAGAAGCCGCTAAAATCACAACCTGTGTGTGCCGCAGACGCAGCAATGTGAGTTGCGAACACTGCGGGTTGCGAACGTGCCTCCCACATGGATCACGTTCACAACCCGAGCGTCCACTGTACCTTGGTTCTCGAACAGAATGCATTCCGGGAGTCCATTTGACTCCCGGAACCCATTTGAAAACCAGAGTGCGGCTTCTGCCAGAGGAGCCCCCTGCAGCCAATCCGGAAGCCGCACCGGATATTCGCCCTCCAAAAATCATTTGAAAACCAGAACACTCACTTCCGGGTTCGATTGTTCAGAAGCCGATTTGTTTGGGAGCCAAGGTGCTCGGCTTCTCAGGTACAACCGAACCTGAGTCCTTTGGGGGCACCGCCTCCCCGGGCGGGAACGCCTGGGGTGGGCGCGAGGAGGAGGGTGGCCCCGGAGGGCTGGGAGAGCCAGGCTGCCGTGGCCGAGAGGGCTGCTCTGCCGGGCGCCGCTGACATTGGGAACTTAGAAAACTTCCCGGGGCAGGACCCCGGTATGGGCCCCCCCAATATTTTTTTATAAGTCGGCGCCACCTGAGTGCGCGCCTGGGCAGGATGTCCCAAGAATGACAGCATCAGGGACCCAGCACTGAGGAGGAATGGTGGGAAGCCAACTCCCTCCCCTGCTCCTGCATCTTCCCCAGGGGTAGGAGGACAGCATAGATTTGGAACAGTGGTTTGCCGAGGGGCACAGTTCCAGAAGGCACGAAGCTGGGGGAAAATTACTGGATGGGGAACAGCTAGGAGAAGAAACACTAGAAAAGAGAAGGTTAACAGATTCACAGTCATTGGCATCATTCCTTCGCTCAGCCTAAGGTCAAGAGAGTCTCAGAAAGTCTCAGAACAGAAAGCACAGAGGTACAAGCTTAGATTAAAAGACGTACGAGTGATGTAGATTAATACGGGCGGAAGGGGGTATGATCCTTAATTGGGAGCACCGCTGTTTCTAGGAGATGTGTTCTTTGTTCTCTCCCTGTGATTATTAAAGTTTCTAACTGGTAAGGCATTCCTTTCTTTGATCTTCTTATCTACTGCTACGGGGGGGGGGGAGGAAGCCAATTCCCTGAAGTCTGACAGACAGCTGCATAAAAAAAGCTACCCCACTGGCCCCCAGGTAGCCAGCACCTTTGGGGAGTGGCTGGCTTCCCTTTTCCCCTATAGGTTGTCTCCCTAAATAACAGGTGCGGGCAGTGGTAGAAAAGGGGTGCTCGCTAAACGGTTGCATTTGAACCTTTTGGAGGGATAAAACGAATGCAAGTCGGCATGGACTGTTTTTCAACCCTCGCGTTTTCTTCCAAGCAAGCAACATCCCTGTGAGGTGGGTGGATTAGGCAAAGGGCCACAGCCAGTGAGGTGCAGGAATCTGGGTTGCCCCATTCTGAGCCCCCCCCCACCAACCACAGCATCCCCACTGGCTCTCCCCATTTATATGAGCAGTGGGTATTTACGGGGGGGGGTGTCCCAAGATGTACAGCTACCTAACACAGAGGCCTTGGCAGCTCACCCCTGCTTCGTCAGCACATCTTTTCGCTCCCACTGATTCCTCCCTCGCCCCTACCGCCAATCTCTCCCGCAACCTCCCATCGGCTCGCTCTCCTTCCCCTCTTAGGATGCGTTCGGCAGCTGATCATCCAAGGGAAGGAAGTTATCTTCAAAGACTTTGACCTGCAAGCTCACGGCGTCTCCAACTGCCCCACCTGCCAGGACCGTCCGTGTCAGGTAAGCTCTCTGCATGTGTGCAGCCTCTGCATTTTATAGAGGGGAGCAGAATTCGGCCTCGTTGCTCGCTGCATTCCCCGTGGCCAGCCCTGGTTGGACACGGCAGGTGATTGGAATAATTATAGAGTGTTTGTAGTGAGGGAGGAGGGGAAAGGAGATTGTTAGCTTTGAGACTCCTTCGGGTAGTGATAAAGCGGGATATCAAATTCAAACTCTTTTCTTCTTTTCCTTCCTTCCTTCCTTCCTTCCTTCCTTCCTTCCTTCCTACCCCGCCCATCTGGCTGGGTTTCCC